GAGGCTGTCTAGCACTCCATCTAGTGGATTTCCAGGTATTGTGAATTTTTTGTTATGTGGGTGTTTATGACAGATGGTGAGTTTGGAATGATTTATGTGAACCATCTGATAGAGATTGGTGTCAATTGATCAGATGTTTTAAAAATAGCAGCTTTGTAGTGCTCCACAGCCTTATAAAATTCAGTGGAGACATTTTATAGAACCATACAAATTTACATCTATGAAGAAGGCCATAGTAGTCCTGTAGCTCAGTGGTTAGAGCACTCGCCTCGCAAGCAAGAGACCTGGGTTCGATTCCTGGCAGGGCAAAACCTTGGGCAAGTTTCCTTATTCCACACGCCTGATAATAATCCCTCAAGAAAAAGAAACAATATTGAATTGGTCACTTCAATCCACGACTGTTTGTGGGATGCTGCTGTGCACAATTGGCTGCTGCTTTTTGCCCACAAATATATACAGTCAATTCACTTTACAGTCTATTCTGTGAAGCGCTTTGAGACGTCTAGAAGACCTGAAAAGCGCTATATCAAATACAAGGATTATTATTATATTCGGCCTGTCACGTCTGGGCTGGCTTCTTTAAAGAGTAAACCTTCCAGTCCCATTTACCTGCTCTTTCCCCCATACCCATGTAGCTTATTTATTTATATTTTTAGATATCTATCTAGTTCCCTTTTGAAAGCACATATCACAGTTTTGGAAATTTGCCTCCAAATATACAGTCACTACACTATCAAAACGTTTGTGAAGGGCTTTGAGGCATTGACATCATAAACTCTATATCATTATTAGTTTATTATTAAATACTAGAACGCATCATATAACTGGTCTTGTGCACAGCAGTATAGCTTTTCTTACACTAGCAATAAAATAAAACAAGTTGGGATTTTTCTTTATTCGTTCCTTGATAAGAATTTGCTTTTAATGCTTTCCCTCTTGCAGTAAAATCCTCTTATATATAAAAGCCTGGGCATAGAAAACCACTTGTAAATAGATGATCCTGTATATAAACTTACTCCATTTAAAGCTTACCGGATACATTAAAGCACAGTGCATAGCAACATGGAGTGGTATTTTACAGTTATGTACATGTCTGTATTTCTAGCTCAGAATGCTAGAAATATTGTGCACATACAGAAAATTTTAGTGAACTAGTTTAGTTATAGTCGTGCCATAGATTTTGATTTTCTTTCTGTTATTGTTTTGTTGGAAACATAAAGTGGGTCCAAATTTAATATCAATCTGACATTTTGAGGTTTGCACCCTTACATCCTTGTTTTGCTTAGGTTCTCTCCTTATGGAGTCCTGTAGCTCAGTGGTTAGAGCACTCACTTTGCAAGCAAGAGACCTGAGTTCAATTCCAGGCAGAGGGCGAAACCTTGGGCAAGTTTCCTTACTCCACACGCCTAATAATAATCCCTCCAAAACTAAAAATAATAATAAAAATTGGTCTTTTTCAATCTACGACTGTTTGTGGGACATTGCTGTGCACAATTGGCTGCCGCGTTCGCCCACAAATATACAGTCAATTCACTTTACAGTGTGTTCTGTGAAGCGCTTTGGGACGTCCTCCCGACGTGAAAAGCGCTATATCAAATGCAAGGATTATTATTATTATTATGAGTCCACTGAGAAGGGCAAACTATGCCCCATTCTCCCATCTGACCATCAAAGCTATTCTTGGCCAGTCACATGAGAGAAGCCTGTTGAACGTTTCTATACATTTTTCCTCTTGCTTCCAGGAGCATCATTCATTGATGAGTGAATTTGCTGCGTTATAGAATATACATTTAGTAACAATTTACAAAGCTATAAAACTGGATCTGCCCAAACCTATTTTGCTTACGACCCACATAGCCATCAGCAAGAGATGAATTTCATCCTCTTAGCCTAGATTTGATTTAAGCCTACATTCCCCAGGTGAAAGGACAGTACTGTAACACATTGTGCCACCAAAATCTTGTCAAACTGATTACTAACCTTTATTAATAGAATAATGTATTTCCATACAAAAGTGGAGTTTTATCTCAAGATTTTATGTTACTTCTTTTCTTATGCAAATCTATAGCATAACAAGATTTACATTACATGCAAAGCTAATTGGAGAAAATGCAGGGCTTTTTACAATGTAATTAAATTTATAAACAAACGTGCTATACTGATTTGACAATGATTTTACTGATTTTAAGCAGCTGTTTGTAAAATGTACAATTGTAATTGTCCCTCACATTGTTAAAACTGTTAACTTTCAATAACAGAAGAGTTATGTATTTAATTATTCTATTACTCTTAGTTTCATAAGTTTTTCATTAAGTCTCAGGTAAATCAATATTACAGTTCAATGATGTTTCATTTTCAGTTAATTTTTTTCAGTAATTGAATGGAAAAACAGTTAATACTTTTCATATCATGTGGGAGATATTTCAGGGTGCACAATGGATATTTGAAGCATAATCATCTAGGACCAAAGTCTATTAAATGGATATTATCTGTATCTACTCTGATCATACTTAAAATATTCATTGTTAATATATCTAGATACATAAATAGATGTCTTAATCCGCACATTCAACTAGGTATTACTATATATTGCTATATGGGTTAAACAGTAAAAGACAAAATTTTACAGTCCAGCTTGGCTAACATACAGGGATTCTATGCAGAAAATACTGGAAAAATCTCCAGTACTGCAATTTACAATTGGTTAGTACAGAGAAACTCTTACACACCTACTCACACTTCATTATTTTTTATCTGCCATCTCTCATATATTTTACTTTCCCAGATAAATAATGTTAAAATGATACTGAAAATAAAGCACTATTCATAGACCACTTTGATCAATATCTAGATGACAGCAATTAATATGAATATGCATTTAGATAACACTCCAAGTACTGTACTTTGTGAATGAAAAATACAATAGTATAAATGCAAGTTGTTGGTGTACAAATAAAACAACAATTTAAAAGAAACATTTTATAATAATTACAAAATGGACCTGCAATTAAAATTGGGAAATTGTGTCCTCAAGTATCCAGTTGGAATTAAGGCCTGGATTGACCATTACTATGCATTACTTTAACATTGTAAATCAGAACTATTCAAATAGCAATTAAACACTTCTTCCCAATAATCTCCAAAAAAGAGTGTAAGTCTTTATTGCCATGTAATGTGAGTCCTTTCTCAAAGGACTAAAATTACAAGTTGTTTGCAGCTCCTGTTTTAGAAGTTGGTGCTTCTTCTGTTCAGTACATCAGCATCATTACTGACATACTATATTCCTTATTGGACTGTATAGAACAAAGGATTTTTTTAGGATTGCTTTTACTTTTCACATAAAAAGAATTTGTCAGATAAGGTTGCAGCACGAACAAGAGGGCAACTTTTGATCCAAAAATATTCAGTTTATTGAATAAAATATTCCATAAAGAACTCGCCTAATGTTTTATAGTTTTATCTAATCAGGAACTGAGTTACACAGCCTAGGAAGCTCCTCAGCCTGATCCCTGACTGTCTGGACTCAGTTAACCAAGGTTAACCATATTTCACAGTAGGGATTCTTTACTTGACCTGAGTACCCATGGGTTAGGGAGGGGAAACTGAAGCCAGGGCTCTGGCTCCGGTTCATTATCCGATGGAAGCACATTGTATGGACATCAGCTAAGGACACAACAGAGGTTGGATGTGATTTTTTCCTCTCAGTACAGTGACATTCTTTGCCAACACTCACTGTCACACATGAATAATGGCCAATTGGAAGTTGAACATAAGCTATGCAACTATGATCTGGCAAGACAGCAACATCTTCTGGAGAGGAGGACATGGATGAAAATTAGTGAGAGAAAACCCCCCTCCACAAACACACACACACTCACGGCCTTAAATCAGGTCACAATCTGTTTTAAGATTCCATTTAAATTGCTCATTTGATTCATAAATAAATTTAGCTTTAATTCTGTTCACCCACAGAAAGTTGAAGCAATTTAGACAGGTCAGCAGAGTATGAAAATAATGGGCTTTCTTTCACTTTGTTTATTGTCTACTGCACATGTCAAATTTTGAATCTTTCAACCACACATGGATTCAGTCAAAAGAAGCGACACATAGAAGTAGTGGTCCTGGTGATCTGCATTGCAAAAACTTAAAGGTTGGCTTATAGTCAAAGTAGCATCTAGTGAAATCTTCAGTGAAGCACATGGCTCTAGATCCAGATGGTCTATACATTCTATACAATTGAACAATAAAAGGTGTTTGCTTTTTCTTTGATGATCTGCTTCAAAAACATAGGCAACTCCTCAGTGTAAGCATTTCAATCTTTGGACAATATTAGAACATCCCATTAGCAATCACATTCTTTTCTGTAAAGTTGACTGAAAAGCATTTACTATACAGAAGCTTAATCAGAAATCGTATTCAAAAACATATTCTGCTAACTCTTTGCAATCAATTTCTTATGTAAATTGGGAAATTAATGCTTATCAGTTTTCAATCAAGCTGGCATCTGCTAAATTTACAAGATTATCCATCAACCTTACGATTAGTGTACAAACATTATATTGCCGTTGTATGTTTTAGAAACCTTCCATATTAGAATTCAGTTTAAATCAAGTTATAAACTATTAATTGTCTAATTAAATATCTGTAAAGACAAGGAGCTTATATTAAAATGCTGGTAATCTCTAAGATTGCAGGTTCCTCAGTGATGAGTTCTATTTTTGTGTTCTTATACAACAAGGTGGACAAAGTGTTACATTCATTTTCATTTTATACAACTTGTATATATATATAGATAGATATTTGCATACTGCCAGAACAAGAATTTTAAAATATTTAAAAAATATTCATTCTAATATTATTCTAGAATACAAAAGGGTGGTATACAGATTCTAGTCATTTACACATGCTAAATTAAAAAGCAACAAAGTCTATTCCACAGGAGGAACTATTATTAAAATGATATACAGTTAGAAGATATAGATTTTTTAGTGTGTTTTTACCTTAAAGAATGCAATTAGGTGTGTTGCAATTGGTCCTTCAGCATCTCCAAATGCAGAAAGGATTCAGGTGTAGTGCATTCATCAGCTTTAATACCATTCACTTTCACTGCAAGCTGCAGCTTAGGACACAGTCTGGTCCAGATAAAAACATTATCACCAACCACTTCATTATCAATTAATCATTTCCATGATTGTACGGTCATGCAGGAAGAAAAAGCTAATAAAGTAGAAGTCAGCTAAGACGCGTATCGTTCTAGGTTCAGTGCAGCTTAGATTTCCTCTTCTGCTTCTGAGGTGCAATGCTTGTCATTTCACGAATAGCAAGCTTACAACACCCTGGCTAAGGAACCACAAGCACAGCTTCACATTATGCACTGGGAGGAGTTTTGTCAGGTGACAACACAATTTCAAATACTGGTGTTAGCGTAGGAACCTTCTGGGAGATGTAGTTATTTTGCAATGCATTTTTAGCTCATTGATATCATAATATCTTTCCAATCATATGTAATCTTCTTGTTTATTATTCTGCCTTTATGTAACACGAGCATTAGCTGAGATTAGGTTGGCATAGACCTAACATATTATTCCTGCTTATATTAAAATAATGTGACATTTCTTTATAAAATGTACAATTATTTATTGTGATAATACAATTATTTGTGTACTATACTTATAGCATAAAACCCAAGCACGTTGATAGTTTTGACAATTTTTAACAAAAATATAGATGTGGTAAAGTTGGGCGGAATATTGCAAGTTAGCACAATTAGCAAGTTATCCAGGTTTAGGATGACACTCAATATTTCTACATCTCACACATGAAATTAAAATCTTTACAGAAAACGGCAGAAAGAGGTTAATTTAATTTAAGAACTTGCTATTATGGATATTAAGGAGAAACGTGCTGTGCTGTGCAGCTGAGAAGGCACATCAAAAATTCCGAATCAACTCCATGTCAAACCTTAAGTAAGTTTAATAAAAGTGGAAATTTAAGAATATCACCACAACATTGCCAGAGTGAATAATATAGAAACGTGAAAGAATGCAGTGGTCATTTGAAAAGAGAAGGGAGTTTCTCCTGTTATCTGGCCAACAATCCCACAAATAAAATTGGTCATTCACTTTGTAGCTATTTGTGGGATATTGCTGTGTGAAAATTGACTGCTGCCCACAAATACACAGTCACTGCACTTTACAATATATCCTGTGAAACGATTTGGGACGTCCTCCTGACATGAAAGGCGCTATACCAAATATAAGGGTGACTATTTATTTATTATTATTGGTGGAGCAGCGAAGGATGAATTACTTACAAAGAAACTTAGTAGCAATAATCCTTAAATTTGATATAGCATCGTATCACAACGTCAAGACATCTCAAAGTGCTTCAACCAATGTGGGCATAGTAATGACCCATAAACCGTCATAAAGTGATTGATTTTATTTGGGAAATTGATAGCAAGTATACTGGAAGGAATCCTTCCCTTTTCAAAATAGTGCCATCATATCTTCAACATCTACCTGAACAGACAGATGAGACTTCAGTTTAACATTTCATATGAAAGACACTACCTCTGACATTGCTGCACACCCCCAGCACTGTACTGGAGTGTCAGCCTAGATTTTATGAGTACACAGTCCTTACATTGGCCCTGTACCCACAACTGCTAACCAAGAGGCGAGCATGCTACCAATTGAGCCAGGTGTTAAATCTATAACACCCACCCTTTTGGTCGTGTCAGCTTCCCTCGTTTCCACCACCCCCCTAGCTCAGGTCCCGGTCTGCTGTGTGAAGCACTTTCTAATACTTCTCAATACAAAAGGCGCTATATAAATGTAAATTGTAAGTCATGCAGGTTCTTCTGTGCCTCCATCCATTTCTTTGAATGGTGCAGAAATAGCTACTCCTGTTTGACACATCACTCAACAGTTGCCACATTATATGTAAGGCTTGGGGACTCGCTTTCCTATCAAATATATAAAAATATATGATGGAGCTGCTCCATTATTATGCCCAACAAATCAGACCTTGTGAATTTGCTGTTTCATCTTTTTTCCCGCTTAAGAATCTGCACTCCATGCCTTTTTGAATTTTATAGTACTCAAGTGGCTTGTTAGCTGCTTTAGAAGTGGGCAGTAACCATTATCACAGGTGCATCATTATTATCATCTGCACTTTCATTAACAAATTTGGACTTAGGAATTTTGGAGTTGTTATGCAGCCACACATTTTTTTTAAAAATTAGTACACAAGCTTTCCCACATTTTTAAAAACAAAAAAGTAATGTCAGAAAGTAAAAAAAACAGTTAGCTTGAAATAAAACATTTTTTATAGTAATAGTAATATAATAATAATCCTTGCATTTGATAAAGCGCTTTTCAGGTCTTCTAGGCATCTCAAAGTGCTTCACAGAATATACTGTAGTAAATTGACTGTGCCTTGAGATGTCCCAGTGCCTTGGGACGTCCTCCCAATGTGAAAGGCGCTATACAAGTGTAATTTTGTTGATGTTGTGTAATTGTGGGTGAAATGCAGCAGCCAATTGCACACAGCAGAGTCCCACAAACAGTCGTGGATTGAAATGCCCAATTTCTTATTGCTTTTTATTATATATATTATATAGTGTGCCTCTTAAAGAATTATTCATACATAGGCTAACAAGCTAACCTTACTAATAGGTTATTTTAAGAGCTCAAAACAATTTTACTTTGCTTTTATCTACTTTTAATCACACTAGTTCATTTCTAGCTACTGTTGTACTTCACTGCGAGACTGCAGGAGACACAGCTTTGAATTCTATTGGAACCTGAAATATGTGGTCCAAACTTAGTTTAGTTGTATTTACTCTGAATCTCCAATGTACATCTGTGTACTTTCTGCACAGTAACCTGCTCTAACCCCTGTTCAATAGGCTTCATCTAGGTCCTTTTCATGCCATTAGTCACTATAAGGAGGCTGCTCTAGGTGGCTCAATCTTTTATGGGAATAAAAATCAACACCATTTACATGCTCAACATCAGATCCATTACTTATAGCCTTAAATGCATTTTGTAGTGACACTCATCACTTTGCATGGTATATCAGAGTAACTTCACAAGCAGGTTGTATTTTTTAGCCCAATTTACAGCTGAATTTTATCAGCACTCAATGATATTGATTTTTTGCTATAAAATACTTCACAGTACAATGGGTATAATCTTCCATGATGATTCTATATTCAGTTAGTTATAAATTGTCCAACTCAACGCACGTATTCTTATCTCACTCTAAAATTGTAATTAATGTTCTTGTTGAAAAAAAGTAAAGAGAATACAATCATCTGCAGCCCCTGTCGTCCCCCTTCAACCCCCCACTGCGTGTAGAAAATATGAAGAGCCTTGAACCAAAAAATATATGAACGATTTAACTGAGCTACACGACTACAGAAAAAAAGATAATCAACAATAATATGATATGACATTCTGAGACCATCCTGCTTACTTGCCAACCATGGGGTCCCATCGCACACAAAATGCTTTCAGTTACAGAATATACTGTCGATTCCCCGGAGAGATTGTCACATGGATTATTCTTCTGCACTGTTTAAAAGGCCCTCCAAGGCACAACTGACAAGTGGCAGGTAATAAAGAAATGACTATGCAGTGGAGTCTTACATAAAGCAATCTGACCAGCAGGAGTGATGCAGCTGTAAAAATGAATTCCCAGAGGATATCCAAATCTGCGATTCCCCTCATTGTTTTTGGTTTGTTGAAGAGTTAACAGAGGAGTTAACCAAAACAACCACTATTGGATACTATTATATAAAAATAGCTTATAGATAAAAGATTATGCAAGGCATCAGCTTGGCTCAGTTGATAGCACTTTTGCCTCCGAATCAGATGGTCATGGATTCAGGCTCCTATTTTGGAACTTTGAGCTGCAATGCAATGCAATGCCTGGGGGAGTTCTGCATTGTCCTGTCCTTCAGTTGAGACATTTTGTATTTAATATGGTCCCAAAAACATCTAGACGGCAGTTAATGAATGTACTTTAGAAGTATGTGGGAAAATATTAATGGAAATAAAATATGAAGATTTGGGAACATCACAAAACAGTTCAACTTATTTTCTTAAGACACAAAACATCACATAAATATCAATTTCAGTGAATTAGAACACACGTTTTCTAAACATCTTTTCTAAGATGAAAATAGTTGACTTGTGTTTTCAACTGGATTTGCGTCTCACTGGTGATGTCTTTATCATACTTTATTGATGGTCATGTTACAACATTTTGTTTGCAATATTCATTTGAAGACTTGTAGCATATCACAATGACAAATTGATATTAACAAAAAAAAGTTTCAGCTGTCTCAGGAGTCCATCATCAATCCTATTCCTTTTGAGGTGCAACTTTAATTCGTTATAAAAATATATCAAATTCTATCCACTTGTTTTCTCTAACTTAACCTCCAATAATGGTTAGTCAGTCAGCTGATTAAGACAAATTACTCCATGAAAGAAAATAATAATAGATATAAGATCCAAAAGCTGTGTGCAGCCAGTCCAGTTACTTCAGAATAATTTGCCAGCTAAAAATATCTAAGTACGTTGACTACTTCAGAAGCAACTATAATGTAAATACAAGTAGTTTCATGGCAGACAAAACATCTTGCTTCTTATTTTTTTTATTTGTGTGGAGCAGTGGGCACGATTCACAATAGCTAAATGATAAGGTTGTTGAATGCAGTCAATGGTGATTTATTTGAACAGAAACAGTGATTTCTGTGAGATGGTTGTGGAATCTGAATCACTTGAATCCTTGCAAAATGTGCTTCACAATATACAAATAGGAATAATGTCATTGCCGTTGGTCATTTATCATGAGTGGATTCATGCAACATTCCCCAAATTAAAGTGCAATTAGATTTTATTTGGATTCTTCTAAAGCCTAAATATTTTAGACTGAATGCCTGTGAATTTAATTGATAAGTAATGGACTTCTGTGAGGCAGAACAAATGGAATAAGTTGGCAACTCGGCAACCACTTTGGAATACTTGGGAAACAGTGCAGGAACTTTCAATTCAGAGAATATGAAACGTATACTTCTTGAATGTTTTGTACATTAGATTGTATAATAACAAATCACGGATAGAACTTTTTCAAATAATTTAAGAGTTGAAAGTAAAAATGCATAGAGTAAAATATATCTAGGATTCGGTCACTGGTGCCAGATGTAAGAAGCTAAAAATGGAAGATCGTATGGTTAGTATTCTGGAATCAAGAGCTCAAATGGATTGAAAAGCCTTCTTCATCCAAATCTCTTGTGTGATCTTAGTCCAATTAACAAGT